TGCTTAGCACCCCTGTCATCTTTATTACTGGCATCCTGCCGTGATGGTATGGGTTAAAGATCTGGACTGCATTGTCGGCTTGAACCGCAAGGTCGGTGGTTCATGCTCACCATAAACTCCTTGGAAACCCTATATAGGGTCGCTATGAGTCGGAATCGACTAGATGGCACTTAACAACACAGACTTTATTGCTAGACTGTGTCCTCCTGGCCTACCTACCACCATTATCACTCGCTGGGTGCGACTCTTCTACTGAATGGCCCTCCTCCAACACTGAACCACACATCTTCAGCTGCAGCCTCTGGCTAAAGTTCCTGTTTTCTTATTTAAAACTGACCTACTTCCAGTGTGGTGCTGGGATAACGGACTAGACTGCAAGGTCAGTTTGAACAGCAAGATCAATGGTTCAAACTCACCAGCTATTCTTCAGGAACCCTATACTGGGTGGCTATGAGTCAGAAGCAACGTGTCAGCATTTAGCAACAACAACTCTTTCCACCACCTTGCATTGTGGAAACCCCTCTGAAGGAGAAACTGAGTGGCCTCCCAGCTCAGAAGAGAACACTACACCATCCTCTTAGTTTCTCATGGGCAAGTCTAAGCGATTACCCCTGAACCTTTAGACAAAGCTTCTCTTCAAGTCTATTTACTTCTCTCTATGAATGTTAATGCGCCAGACTGCATAGCCATTTGAACTGCAAGGTCAGTGGTTCAACCTCATCAGCTGCTCCTTGGAAGCGTTATACAGGGTCGCTATGGGTCAGAACCGACTCGACGGCACTTCACAACAACAACAAAATGAATGTTTTGTGTCAGTCACCATCTTTCCTCTTTCAACCATCAATTTATTCCTTTCATGACCTCTGGGACATATGTTGCTCACCATTTCCAGGCTCTCAGGTTTCTTGGGAAGCTGTTATCCCAGTTGTAATGTGTGTTGCTGCCTGGTGGGGACCTAACTGAATCTGAAGAAATGGGCCTCATCCCATCATTCCTACCACCAGAGCCCACTTATAACATATGACGGGGCTTCAAAACATTTGTGGAAAAATGCAGTTAAAAGACAATGGAATTTTTCCACAAAGTTTTTAAAGCCTCCTCATATGTGTCCCACTTCCTTATATCAAAATACTGGAGCCATGTGCTGTAGACTCTACCTCACCAATGCCTCTCAAATCTACCCCTTCTTCCATTTCTATTACCACGACCCTATTGCTGGCCACCAACACTCATCAGTCAGATTGTCAGAATGTGGTAGCTTGATGCTAGAAGTTCTGTCACCAGTATTTAAAACACCAGCAGGATCACCTGTGGTGGGCAGATTTCAGCAGCACTTCCAGACTAAGACAAACTAGGAAAAAAGGCTCGATAATCTAATTCCAAAAATTAGTAAATGAAAACCCTATGAATCGTAATAAAATACGGTCCGGTATAGTACTTGAAGATGACCCACTTTGGTTGGAAGGCACTCAAACTATACAGGAACAAGCAATATATGTGAGTGGTCACCAGGAGCTGAAGCCACCTTGACAGCAGCTAACAAAAACAACAACAATATTAATACCAAGACTACTACACTGGTCTCTCACTCCCTCCACCTTCCATTTCTCATTCATGCGATCTCAAACACACACCTAGATAGATCCATCACTCCTTAATGGTTTTCTCCACTCTCGAGAAAATGAAGGATGAAATCATCATGCTGGTGTGGCGCTGTACAATAAGCTTGGTCTGACGCAACTACTAACCGGAAGGTCGGCAGTTCAAAGCCACCAGCTGCTTCTTGGAAACCCAATGCAGTGCTGCTGTGAGTTGGAACCGACTCAACTGCACTGAAGAACAACAATGATTAAAATACCCAACTGTGTGTTGAGGTCAAGCTTTTCAATTTTGTCTCCCATACCTAGCTACAAATAAACAACACCCCAGCTAGACTGTGCTATTTGTTAATTCCCAAATGTGTTCCCAGTAAAAATCCTAAATTTAGAAATGCCTTAGGCTGAGACTCTAACACTAAGCATGTCAGGAGACTATTTATCGTTGTTTTGCCAAGTCTAGCCTGCCCCTCTCTCCCTATGAAGGACCTCAACAAGAGGAGAGGCATCCCATACGTCTGCATCCATGGTGGTCGCCGTCCGCTCATCCCCCATTCATTCATAAACTCCACTCTTCCAGATTCGCAAAAGACAAATCACAGATTGTGTTGAAATGAAAAATGTTCTAATCAAACCACACAAGCAATTTGTCTCTAAACAGATTTCCCTTTCACTATCCTTCCATTATGATCCGTGTGAATTAATCAGAGAGAAGAAGCAGGAAGCCTCAACGACACGAAATTTCTCAATGATCAATGTTGTTAAGGAGAGAGAATCAGAGCACGGTACAAGACAATTTATAAGAAGTGGGAAAATACATAATTTTATTAATTGGCAGACATTCCAAAAGAATGAATTTATACATCTCTTGCTCAGTCAAGACACTAAGAATTTTTTTTAAAGCACACTACTATCACAGTGACAAACATGTCACTACTGTTGTACTAAGAGCTGCAAATGTTACAGAACTAATGCATTTTCATTAGCATCATCAGATAATTTCAGAATGGGTTAACTTGTTACCATTTGCCATTCCCATTAATATCATTGTCATGTAAAAGGTTTAATTTTCAGCTATTTTTGTTCTAGATACAATCTTTGTCATTAAAATGAGGGATAATTTTGATATTTAATATATTCCGTGGCATACTCCAGTGTGGTACTAATTTGGCCTTTTCAGTATTCTGTATATTAATTGACAATCCATCCCTCCTCCACTCCCCAGATTAGTGAGAGCGGAAATAAAATGGACAGCCAATCAAGGCACAGAATACCAAAAGGATCAAACAGAAGCAATGTGTTGTCCTAATCAGGAGCATACACAAGGCACTCAAATTATTTTCTCGCATACTAATGACAGAGAAAGAACCAGCATAATAAATGACACCATCTGAATCCTTTCATGTGACAGTATTATTGAAGCATGCCGATGCTCCCTAAAAAGTGAAAACTAAGTATTTCTTATTTTAGTCATATTGAACAATGCTCCACCATCCCCCATCCCAGAATCTGCAACAACTGGCAAGTTATGTCATGGACTGAAATCTTCATCGTCATCTACCTCATGCACACCAGTGTGTCCTAAAGTTGAAGCATGTGCAGAGTTAGGGCGGAAAACGTATCACTTCAATATGTACTCTATCTGTTTCCTTCTCTTGTTGAATCATCACTCCAGTAAACGCTGAGGACAGCTGCTTAAATTATGCATATGCCTGCATCCAGAAGCCACTGTCACTGGAGTGGGCCTCTCCTCTGAGGATAAACTAGGGCATTTCATCCAAAGATAATATAATTTGTCATCATCTGAAGTTCAATTTTTACAGGAGTGGTGCTGCAGGATAAGCACTGGACTGCTAACCACAGGTTGGCGGTTCAAACTCCTTATCCACTCCTTGGAAACCCTATACTGTAAGCTGCAGTTGAGTTGAAGACACCTAGCAACAACAATCTACTGTGATACCATTTTAAAATTACAGAGAGCAAATATTATGGCTTCATGAACACAGAAGGTGGGTACAGTTGTCCAATTAAACCAAATAAAACTGTTCACCAAGACCAGCTCTTTTCTACATTTTCATCCACAGCACATCAACTAAAAGCCAATGCTAGCCTCACTAGTTGGTGAATATTCATTTGTTATTTCTAAGTCCTCCAGTAGAAGACGGATGCTAGGGATCTTCAAGTCTTTCAAGTAAAACTCTAATTCCAATGGCGTAAGACTTTTCATCCTTGGTAATTCTGGCAAAGCCCAAATCACTTCCACAATTTTTTCCTGAGATGAAGTTCTCAAGAAAGACAATCAATCATCATTATAACACCTTCTTTGAAGTTCAGAATTACTACCAGTCAATGGCGCTCTGTGTTAATGTACCAGACTGCAAAGCTGTTTGAACTGAAAGGTCGGCAGTTCAAGCTCACCAGCTGCTCCTTGGAAACCCTACAAAGGGTCGCTATGGGTCAGAACCAACACGACTGCAGTTCACAACAACAAATGGCACTTAATTTTTTTAGAAAAATCTTGCTATGACTTTAATAGAAAAGAAACTGATAAATGTTCTTCAGTAATTCTTAATATAAATAATAGTATTTGTTAAGTTGCAATAATACACTTCCATTTGCCCAGACAGATCTATTGGTAACTAATTATCAATAAGATTTGTGCTATAAATTGGGGGTCTACTGCTTTTCCCCCCCTACCCACCTCCTGTTCCAAATAGTGGATTACAACCTTATGGTAAACACAGACACTGGTAAAATATTGACACAGATTTAGATAAGCACCCTATAAAAAGTTCCATCTCCATGTTTTACCTGACTTTTTACATCATGCTCTATAGCCTTGCTGTAAGCTTCAGAGTTTATAGTACGAATAAAAATGCAAAAAGTCAAATATGACAAGACGAATATCAGTTAAAGATAGTCTTGGGAGCTACTTCAGTATTGCTGTAAAATTATTACTAGTCTTACTCCCCTAGGGTTGAATGTTCAAGTCCACTGCCCTTTTTTTTTTTTTTTTAATGTGTTTTTGTTTGTTGTTTTTTTCTTAATTTAATGACTTGCTAACTTAAACTTCCATCTCAAACAATCAAATTGTGTGTCACTTATTCAAATTTACAATGGCTCTAATGTGCCAACAAACTCCCTCAACAAAATCGACAATTTTAAAGAAACTTCGCCTGAGTCAGGAGCACTTTCCTAAATTATCATCAAAGTATCATCTCGCAGACCTTTGAAGAATAATATCATTTATAAGAAAGCCAGCGTCTTCTAGGATGGACCTGTAGGTCAGACAGCTCTCGGGGCTCCGACTGTCCCCCGCAGGTCACAGAGAGTTTGGGAACACTCATACTTCAGGCACCACCCTGGCACCTTCCAAATACGATAATCTTATAAACAGACGCTTACCAATCTCCCGGGAGATCTGCGTGAAGGCCTCCACGCCGCTCTCCCCGTAGTTCCCCTCGGACGCCAGCGTCGACACGTAATTCCACCCCAAGGCCGTTACGATGTCCACCATGGCTTGCGCTTGGTAGGAATCGGGTGGGACGACCCGAGAGAAAAAGTCATACCTGGTATTGTCACTTAGCTCTGGAGCTGTGGATGCATAGCTGATTTGAGGTATCTGCAAAGCAAACGACAGGTCATGTCAACCAATGAGGAACCTGCGAGAAGATGGATCGTCACAAGAAGATTAAATAGCTGAAGCTGTACAAAACCCCGAAACCTGCCTGAAGCAAGATACGGTTTTGTGACCACCAGTTTTATTAGAAAGTACTTTGTAAAGTCGCTGGGCACACAGTATTTCAAAGACTGCTCATTCTAAGTGCAGATAGGAGTTTAGTTTTGCACCAGGTTCCATTGACTTCCCAAGTCAAAGCAAAACATTTGTATGTTTTGTTATTATTGTTTCCTTATTCTATATAATTTCTGGTGCCAAAAAAATGAAGCAGAAATGGCAGTTTGATGTGACATGTATCAGAAAAAGGTCATTCTGAAATTGGCTGTGGCCTTAGGACGCAGAAGTTATGCAATTACTAACAAGGAATTTAATATGAAATTGTTTTTTACACTTGATACATTTTTAGTCATAACATTGTATTTCTGCTAAGACATTTTAGATATCTGGTTTTGTAAGGCCAGTTTGCTTATTGATACAATCATCAAGTACCCTCAAAAGATTTGGAAATAGCCAAGGCCTCAAAATAAACAAATAAATAAAAATTCACAGAAAAAGGAATCCAGATCATCGCTTCTCTGGGGGGAAAGGGACTCTTTTCTTACGTAAACAGGGTGAATCACTAGAAGATTTTCAAAACTACGATTCCTATGTGTTTTCCTAAACAAGTTTGAGTTGAGCAAGAAATGAACTATATGGTCCAAATACCAAATGCAAACAATCACAAGCAGCACTCATGCATATACCCAAGTGAGAACCTTTACTCTACCTTACAGAAGTACACATGGAAGGGAGAGAAGTTAAACCTCAGGGAGACTGCAGGTTTGGTACCAGACCACTGCTTTCAATAGAGCAAGTCACATCACGTGCATATAAAAGTTACATTGACACTATATTATAGTTCACTGAGTGTGCAGTATCATTCTGGAGATATTTAAAATATTGCAAGAATGACCAAACTGTGATGCGGAGACATGGTGTGGCACACGCTATTGGAAAAATGACACCAGTAGATGTGCTGGACGCAGGATTGCCACCAACATTCGATCTGTAACAACTGCAGTATCTGTGAAGCACAATTTAACAAAGTAAGGTATGACACTGTGGGATAAGACACCAGGCTGCAAAGCCATTTGAACTGCAAGGTCAGTGGTTCAAGCTCACTAGCTGCTCCTCAGAAAACCCTATATAGGGTCACTATGGGTCAAAACTGACTTAACAGCACTTAACAACAACAACAAGCCTATATAAGGCTAGCCAGGGGCCAGAAGATGCAAGGAATCTGTGAAGAAGGCAGAAGAAGACATTTCAGCCACAGCATAGAACATTTCAGTACTGATGGACAGAATCAAGAAAGGGCATGGAGAACTACAGAACAACAGAGTTTCATGTGGAGAATGTAGGCTACCAAGGGGAGAATATCAGGAAAGGAAAACTGCTAAGGTACACAGAGATCCAAATGTGAAGGGAAAACCACATGTGGATTTTGTCCCAAAGGCCTTGGGGAAGCACAGAGTGACTGTGACCAAATGAGTGGCAGGTGATCAGATTTCTGTTCCGAGATCTATCACATTGATAGAGAGCTGGTGTTGTTAAATACTGTCGAGTTGATTCCGACTCATAGCAACCTTATATAAGGTTTCCAAAGAGCAGCTGAACAACCGACTTTGCAGTTCAAACAACTTTGCAGTCTGATGCATTAGCCCACAGTGCCATACCAGGACTCCTGATATAAACCAGTGACCCCCAAGTGTCAGTGTGTACCTGGGTCATTCCACTCCCAATGATTCTGGTTCTGTATGTTTAGAGATCCAGAATTCTGCATTATAACATGCCTCCAATGGACTATTCCTTAAAATATGCTGCATTAAGGGAAGGCAAATAAGATGCAGGAAAAAAGTGCTACAAAACTATCCAACAACTCTAAGTAAGACATTATAAGAACTGAACTGAAGCATTGGCAAAGTGACACATGGATAGAAACTAAAAGTATCTAAAAGACAGACATAGTGTAGGCAACAGGGGAGAAATGGAGGCTTTTATATCTGGAATGGTGGAATGACTATTTACCAAAATATACAGAGAAAGAGGAGAGATTTTCAGGACAAAACTAATGAGTTCACCTTTTGAGTTGCTTGTTTTGATGTTCCTGTATGATAACTGAAAACAAGGAAGAAGTAGGCAATGAGATTTGGTTCCTGGAGTTGAAGATAGTCTTTGAGTGCAGAGATAAGGACTGAGGGAGGGGGCATGATGAAAGTGATAGTTAAAGCCATGGGAAAGCATGTAGTCATCCAAGGAAAGATAAAGAATGAGAGAAGAAGGGCAATTTGGGAGAGTGCACCTCATCACTGTGCATCTGCCATCATGCTGAGTGTGATCAAAGGATCAGAAGTCAAAATGGCTCCAAGATGCCCACAATGGGTCGTTCAGGTGAAGATGCAGGTTTGGCTCATACAGAGAACAATGAACTTGTTCTCCATCAGATCTCTGCAGTTAGCATCAGTGCTCAATCTCTAAAAGGTTCCATCTTCCCAAATAGGGCAGAAATAAATCCTTGTATTCAACTGTCACCCCCTACCCTTGACCATATGATTCCAGATCCACATAGAGGTTTTGCACCATCTTTTATATGTTTGAAAATCCCTCCACAGCTGGATGACTTCCCTAGGTCTAGAGAGCCCTACCTAATTCATATGGTGCCCAGTGAAGGAACCCTCAACTTTTCAAGTTATAAAGCCTGTCAACCAGGCAACAGAAGTAGAACAAAGTGTCTGGAGCTCTCCAAGGTGCTGCAACAGGGGCCCTCAGAATGTTCATTCTAATCAAACCAACTCCTGCTTCTCTGAAACCCATGCCTACCTACACTTGCTATAAAAATGGTTACTCAGCCAAGTCTGATCTCCCCCAAAGTCTTCCTACTGGGGATCATGTGAACTTATTAATATTGAGGGACACTGTAGGATAAAGCACTGGACTGCAAGGTCAGTTTGAACCACAAAGTCAGCAATTCAAACTCACCAGCTGCTCCTCAGAAACCCTACCCAGGGTCACTATGAGTTGGAACCAACTTGACATGCAACAACACGAAAGCCAGTCTAACCCAGCTCCTTGCTACCCCTTTGCTTTCTTTGCCAAATGTACTATCTGGACAGATACTTCTTTCCTTAAGGCTCTATGCATTTGTAATACACAACCAGTCAACAAAGACACTCCTCCAGATCTCACATCACACACCCTACCTTGGTCTGGGTCATCTCTTCTTGTGCATTTCTTTGTTCTAATGAAAGGGATTCAGCTGACTGACTTTCACTTTGGAAGGAGTATGTGTGTATATGTGTAAGACAGCGAGAGACAGCGAAGGGGAAAGGGTGAGGCATCCTCTAGAAAGTTCTATGGTACTATACTATTTTCCTGTCTGGTTTGGATATACGATAATCCTCCCACTTCCTCAATGACCCAGAGTCCAGCAGTAAAATATCTCCTTCAACCCCCACCCTGCCTCTAATTATGAGCCACCCCTTTCTAAAAATGAGCACAAAGTGTGAAAACTGAGTGTTTGAAACGAAAACTAATTATCTCAAATTACTACCTCCAGTCAGTCACTTTCAGGGCTGTTTAATTAGCAGTCAGCATCATGTTTAGGATTAATTAAACAGGTGTAAAGGGTATATAAAATAAAAGTGCAGATTGAAGATGGTTGTTTGAATAATTAGGTAATGGACTTTCTCCCTAAAGTCTTAAATAGTTTCATCTTTCCAGATCAATGTGCAGAAAAGCAATGTGAGAGTAAATGCTTGTGTTCTCCTTTGTTCAATTTCAGGGATGCTTCAGTCTACAATACTACATGCCAGGGTACACTGATAGCATTTCAAGACAGCTTTCCAAGTTGTCATGAGGTCACATCTCATTTCTATTTTATTGTGGTAGACCACTAAACATTGGCTCATTAACCATTTTAATTTCTGTGTCAGCTTCCCCAATATTCCCACTATTCTCAAATTAAATCTCTCCTTCGAGTGAATTTTTTTAACCTAAAATGTTTATTTTTCTTTTTTCTACACCAACATCAAGGAGCCCTGATGGTGCTAGTGGTGACATGTGCAAATGACAGACAAAAGGTTGGTGGTTCAAACCCACCCAGTGGTTATGAGAAAGACCTGGCCATGTGATTCCATAAAGAATACATGAGTGGGGCAGTTCTTGTTACAATGTTAGAAAACCTTCTGGTTCTTCCCTCTCCCCTCCTTCCAACTCCATTTTGTCTGTTTCCCCGCCCTAAGCTACAAGGCACGTAGTTTAAAGGACAACATGGTTTTTGATAGGCCAGAGCTAAATCACCCCAGCAATGACCACTCCCTTCCTGCTGAACCTATATAAATCCCCTCCCTTCCCGTTGACTCTCTCTTCCTTCTTTCTCTCCTCCCTTCTGCCTCCTGCCTTCTCTCTCTGGCAGAGGTTATCTTCCTCACCCTGAATAAAGGTCTCTAGATGGGCCATCTGGTGTGAGGTGTGGTTGATGAGCAGCATCGTGGTTGTTTTTCCCCTTTCATTGGTGTCAGAAGTGGGATGGTTGAGGCCACCGATTTAACATCGGAAGGCCCAGGACCCCAATTCTCCTGGCGCCTTAACCCGCTCATTTCAACATGCCCTCCCAGCGCCCGTGATCATCTTCCCTGACGCCTTCTCAGCACCCATCACCGGCAGACAATTCTTCAGCCCTCTGGCTTGGGTAAGTCCCCTTTTGTGGATGCCCTGGGTATGGAGATTTGGACTCCGGTAACCAGGACATAAGACTCTGTCCAGGACACAGACCGGGCGCCAGGTTTTGTGTCTTCCATAGTGAGTTCGGAGCTCACCGGAACAAGTCCGGGACTTGTCCGTTCTGCCCCCCGCCCACTGGAGGGACACCTCAGAGGGTGGTGTGGCCTCTCCGTTCACAGACC